ACAATCTTGTGTCAGATGTGTCAGATATTTATTTATTTCAAATGGCAGGCGTTTTGATAGTTATTAGCCCTTTAGCTGACTTCGGGCTTTACAGAGAGAAGGAGGAGGAGGAACATCAAAGTGACAAAAAGTCGAGAGGGGGGACAGAATAATTATTCACAGATGTAAAAGAGTCAGACAGACACAAAGGCAGAAAAAAGGTAAGATGAGTACTGTGAAGGGGTCGAATATGACATACAGTCGGGTCATGGCAGTTTGAAGTCAGAAGTCAACTGCCAGTTAATAGACATTTTTGCCGTATGAGTATACTTTGCCCAGGGTGCACCACGTGGAGGTAAGTCTATCACACCCCCCCATGTATCAGATATTGGCTATATAATTTCTATCACCTTTTTAATATTATCTTCACGGTCTTTTTTTCTAGATGCCCGGATGACGAAGACATCTGTCCAGCTACACTAACCCGAATGGCACTAGATATTGCTGAGGGATTAGCATACCTTCACAGCAGACAACTCATCCACCGAGATATTGCCTGTCGAAACTGTCTTGTGGGTCCAGATCATGTAGTTAAAATTGGCGATTTCGGCCTGACTCGTGAAGCCTCGACAGGTTCACCCTATGGGTACTATCGTTTTACGCGCAATGTCGAGTTGCCCATTCGATGGATGCCTCCAGAGGCTGTACAATTTGGCATCTTCTCAGTGAAATCCGACCTCTGGTCTTACGGCATTGTGCTCTATGAAATTATCACATTTGGAATGTTTCCCTATGCGGATTTAGGAGATGTAGAAGTCGTGGAGAGAGTCAAAAGGTCGGAATTCTCTATCACGCAGATCCTTCCACCTGCTGCCAACGGAACTGTTGTGTACGTCGCTTTGCACTTTTCCACTAATATAACGTGTTATTTACGGCGGAATTATAGCCCACAGAGTTTGAACAGTCAAGTTTCTATTATGATTGAAACGAGGCTTTATTGGGTGCCCCTTCTACATCGCTCTAATGCTAACATAACTAGATTCTACTGCTATGTCAAATAAATTTCAACATTCTGCGTTTCACTCAGACTCTAGGACAGGTGTGCATTTGATCAAAGCCCACATTATTACCTAGACAATGATTTCAAATCGCCTGACGTTTGAAGGTCAAAACAGTTCCGGACTGGTGACAGTTTATACCCCGACCAATTACCAGACCGTCATGTGTTGCTTGCGTGCCCAAATGTTGATAAGGTAATGAGAGGCGATTTAGGTACCACCTGCGGGAATTGTGCATCTCGAAATAGACCGTAAATACAGCAGCTATGATGATGAGGTTTGTTATTATCGACGTCTAACCGTCGTGGAATTTATTTTTGACTTTCAGTGATGATTGTGGGTCGATTTATAAACGTTGTATATCTTGCAACATTTGGACATACGAATGCAAAACTATAAGGCTAGTATTTGGGATAAAAGTCCATCTACTACAACACTTGCTATTTTTAATGTTCTTAGGTGGCTTTTACTAACTACTCCTGTATTTTGTAAAATTTAAACTATCTCGAAAAGTCCTTATTAATCTTTATGCCTATAAATCAATGATTTTGTCGATATTGCAATTCACTTCTGTTCTTCTTTTAAATATGCGCATTCAATTGACAGACTGGCATATTTAACTTCTTGATTGCTCTTGAGTCTAACTTCTGCACTTCGAGAGATTGGAATCGTTGTTGTTGTTGACTGTCTCGAGCCAAGTATTCTCTGGAAGTCTTCAATAATCTTCTTCATCCATGATCCTGGGTGATTGCTTTGGGAGAGGAGAATTTGAATTTATTTTTAAAGCACCCATAGGGAAAATTTTCCTTCGTGCAAATATAGGCACGTTAGCGTAATTCAAGTAACATATCTGTTATTCAAGGGAAATTTTTTTAGAAATTGGCGCAGGGCTGTTCGTTTCTACTTTACGCTATAATTAAGTAGTGTGTTGATTGAGGTCGTTGGAAGTTTTCCAATAGAACACTTTTATATATTTCCTCTTGACCAGAATTAATTAGTGCGCTATTGGGCATTTCGTCACTTTATATGCCTCCGGTGGTCCGCAGCCTTGCCACCTTTGACTTGGCCGTGCCACTGATCTCACGTGAGATTGAGGTCTCCTACTTTGTAGACCAGTCATCGTTCGCATAACCCCCCCCCCCATTAACCACTTGTAAGCATTGCGCCAACAGTCACTATTTGAAATATAAAACTCTAACCCCATACATGACTATACAATCCTAGGAAATTTTTCATTCGGGTGTGCGTATTCCCCTATCTGATCTTTTTTTTATTTTTCATTACTCTTTTTAGATTATACGGTTGTGTTGATTGATATGAATCATTACTATATTTTTGAAGTCGCAATTTCCGATCTCATCAGTAAATCATTTAATTTTTTTTCTATCGACTCTGCGACGTCCAGACTAGTTTTTTTGCTATGGGTCTTCCGACAGCGTTTTCCAACTTTCTCACTTTTCACTTGATATTTGTCTATCTATTTGACAGGACGAAACATTCACCAGATGCATGCTGAAATAAGTATATCAGTTTTCTCTATCCTAACTTTCCTGACAAGAAAAGAGTGAACTACTATTTACTCACAAGGGGGGAGGGGAGAGGACACGTATGTTTATGCACATATTCCCCTGAAAGTACCATGATTATAAAACTTAGAGGCCCACTATTGGTATTCTCGAAAAAAACCAAATAAATTCAAGACTGGATCAAGCTTTTAAAAATGATACCTCCCAGTAATAGCTTCGTTAATGATTCACTCAATTAGTTGAAGAGATTTGGTTATTCTCTTGACGCTATATTCAATATATTATCAGATTCAAAATTTAAATGATATTAGGTGGATAGGCCACGATCACCAATGGCTATTACTTCTAGTGACTACTTTGGTCACAGCGACTCATTCCAATCCATTGATGATAAAGCATGGCAGTACTCGGAAATGCGGACTCCCATCACCTTGCTCTATATTTACGGTGATAGCTTGAGACCTGTTATCAACAAAACGGCATCTTAATTCTCAAGTCTGCTAAAGGGGAGTGATCGTGTTCAATGCAATTGCATTATATTTGAATGAGAAATTCGTTTTCTATCATAATGTCAATGGCTTATAGGGATTCGAATCCGATATTTTTGTGCATGAGTGAAGATCACAAACTTTATTTCTCCTACAAAGGATTATCGATTGTTGATATTCCACTCTGGTACCTACCTCCGGATTTTGGCGAGTCTCTGGGACCTTTGTCAGTCACTGTAAGCTGCCGAAATGGACATTAAGATTCAGCTTTCAATGAGATCGGAGATGGTATTATTCTGTGCTCAATTTGACGATTTCTTATTTAATTAGTCTTTCTACCTCTCAATCCATTTTATCATTTCTCTTCATAGGCACTGGGTAAGTCTCATAACCTAATGGTTTCTTACGGTAGATAAGAAATAATTTAATTTTAATTGTACCTGCGCATTTATCTGCGCTTGATTTGACGCAACAGAAATAAACCCAGAATATGAAGCAGTTACTAGCTTCCTCACGCGTTGGCTAGTGCGGCTAGCCCCAGTGTTTCTCGCTTTTCTTTATTGTTTACTCCCCTCTAATGCTTGTATCACGTGATGCATTAGGTGGTGAAGTAGAACTCCCTCTTCTCCCCTATCTCTCCTCCTGCTTTTCATTTAGGTTGATTGAAGTCGTGATGTGCTCCACCTTCAACTCTCTACTTTTAGTCAGATGCACCACTTGAACGTGGATCTTCATTATGATATAGCGAGCTCTTTTTTTCGAAGTCACGAATTCAACTTTAATAACTTCATTACTGCTCTATTTTGAGCTAGTGTAATTGTTTTTTTTTGCACAACAGTTCGTTCCGTTCTTCGCTTTCTCCTGAGGTGACGTTTGGTACTTGTTTTTTTTGGAAACGTGAACCTACCCATGTTGGCTGCTTTAGTTGCAATAGCCCGGTCAAAACAAAATCCTCTAGTCTTGGTCACTACTTTCTGTATGCCTTCTTTCTAGTTCTCATTGGTACCTGTTGTCTTGAGGATAATTTTAGGAGTTATTTTCATGGATTCTACATTGAGGCTTGACTGAGGCATTTCCTAGAGGATTCCGCTAAGTTAGCTCTTTTTGTCATTGCATTGCAAGCTCGTGATCCTAAGGTCAACTTTCTCTCCAAGTTTAAACGAGCCTTTGTGACTCGTAGAGACTGAAATAATACATAATTTTTTTCCTACTTTTCTTAAATACAATTGAAATGAGATGTTGGACGTGAGGAGAGGGCGGGAGAGAGAGGGGGAGGGAGAGAGCCGGTGTAGACGACTTGGCCAAATTCTGGTTTGGCACACGGGCCGAGCTAGCGCGCGCATGCGTGCACGGTGCGGGGTGTGTGTGTGTGTGTGTGAATTTTTTGGCATGCGCGTGCGCTGCCCGGCCGTGAGGGTCTTCTGATAGGGTCTACCTCTGCCTAGCTGATCACGTGATCTGTGTTGGTGTTTGGCTTTAATTTTTCCCTTGTCTGTGCTGTGAGTTTCTTTTTCATCTTTTCTAGAAGATTTACTAGTTATTGGCCGGTTCAGACCTCTATTCAACCAAGCCCACTAACAAATTTGCTTATTTAGCATCATATTAGTGATAAAACTGCTTATTAAAAGCGGATTTTATTGCTCAGCTTTAACTACAAGATTATTCCAGATTTTAATGATTAAAACCAGCCCTAACATGTTTAATTTGAAATGGCTCATTCACAAAATACCTCATAGTAGTATTTCAAATTGATGGATTTTCCTTCTATTGCCATCCTTTAAATAAGCGTTTACGTTTTCTCATACTACCACGTTGTTGCCCACATTGTTTCTTCAGTGGTTCGACTTCCTTTGGCCCATTTTGCTTAATTGTATCGATATCTAAAAAGGAAATTAAATTATAGTACGCCTTCCCTAAATGTCATATAATCGTAGCATTATTCAACCTTTATTTCTTAGTAAAACATGCATCTATTAGAAAGATTTCACAAGTTTATCTTTCATCAATAGATGGCGACTGATCGTGAGCTGCTGTCAATACCTCTGGCAGCATCGTCCCGAATCCATGCTCCAGGTGATAGAGGAGATTCGAGCTAATGAAAATTGTATTCGGCCTTATCTGACAGATGCCCCTCCCACGCTAGAAACTACAGCTATTCCGGTTTGTGAAAGAACTGATACTTTTCAGTCCTCGTTCCGATAGACAATAGAGCTAATTTTTTTCTTTTCTTTTAGTTCCTACCAGGTCCCGGTGCTTGTATAATGCCCGAGCCCCCATCCGTTTCCCAGCCATCCTTCTCAGCACCAATGGGAGCCCGTGCATGGGTAGGGGGCACGCCTTTCATGAACCCTTCCGCTCCCTTAACAGAACCTCCATCAGCAAGCAACGGGCCTCAGAGACACGCGACCACCACTATAGCTAACAGTCGAAGCAGTGGTGGCGCTGTGTGTGGTGGAAGTCAAAAGGTCTCCTACTCATCGTCCTCCGCTGCCTCTCTGGTCACCACATCGAATTCGGGGGCATCTTCGTGGGTAGGACAAGTAGGGGGAGTTGGACAGACTCCCACTAGACATCGGCCCCCTCCACCACCACCTGCTTCGGTTTATGCACCTCCTGGACATCCTGAGTATCAACCCTCGGAGGAGCATAATCCCCTACTGAACCCCGCTAATAGGCAAGTGGTTGTATTTACTGACAAGGTGATAGATATATGAGGTGAGAGGATAAGGCTCACTCAAAAGAGTTAGGATAATGCTTTACTGGGAAATAAAAGGCAATATATAGGGTTACAACTGAACATTATGGAGGCAGGCGCTGTAGATAGTGCTGGTCAGTGCCCGATTGTAGAAGGGATTGCCTGGGTTACTGTGGGCAGGGGCTGACAGGTTGGAGCTGAAGATGGAAGCCGAGGTGTAGAATCTAGCAATTAGAGCTTGTTGATGGCAGGGAAGTCGGGGTGCGTTGCGTAAGCTTACAAATGGGGTTTTTTTGATTTAGTAAGAACGACGTGAGCAACTTTTCTATTTCCATTGACGTCATAACAGCATTATGAGTCAAGGTGAGGAGTTGGGTGCTTAAATTTAACTTAAAGCAATGGGAAATTTCTACGCTGTCTAAATAATCACGTATACGGAGATTTTAGCTCAGTTTTATTTTGTCAAATTTCGTGAAAGTATGTGGTGATCAGAAATGTGTACAAAGTTGAGGTCATGACAATAAGCAATTCATCTTCTTAGAAATGTATTGACATTCTGAAGGTTGAGGCCCGCATGGAATCGCTTTAGATTGGCGACAGAGCTTGGCAGGAGTTAGTTGATTTCCATCTTCCATAACTGCAATAGTTTTTAGAATGTCAATTTTTAAATGTTTTTTTTGTCCTCACAATGGTTGAAGATGGGCCATGTGTGAAATCGGAGACCACGAATTTGTGCATGTTACTGGAATGGCTAATCCCACTGGCCAAGTCTGTCCAGTAAGGGGTTGTGACTTTCGATTGTCTTACCTAGGATGGGGGAGGGGGGGAAGGAGTGGGGCACATTGATACTACTTCTCCACTCAAGATGTTTGCACTTATTAATAATAAACCAATTTTCTCAAGTCTGCTAGTACATTAAGGTGGATGTTTTCTCTCTGTAAATTTTGGCTTTTTATTGTCTAATGCGAATTGGACAGGGAGATGTTTAAGCGTCAAAATCACAGACTCGGGATTTTATTTCTTCTTATAAGTTGGACTTCTTTGTGTGCTGTCTCTTTTTTTCCACATTACTTTTCCACTTGTTTTTTTTCTCATTTTATTAGGTTGAATTAATGCTTCCTTGTTTTTCACTTTCGGTGGCTTTCAGTTTACGAGCTAATGACTTCTACTTTAGTGCATTTGTTATCAATTGATGACGAAACTTACTTGAATGCCTAAATTACTCACTTAACGTCTTCTCTGTGGGTAGACTTGTCTACTTCGGCTCGTTTTTGACGTTTTCGATAGTTTGGATTCCTATACACTGCCTATACACAATTATTTACTTAACATTTTTCAGAGATTATTGTTTTTGGGCAGTATTGTATATGGCTGTTTCGTTCTTCCCTTTTCTACAGATCAATGTCTCTAGAGTTTCTTCAGAAGTCCGACTTCCACATCCATGCCCCTCCATCAGTAAAACGCGGTCATGATGAGGGAGACGGCTCAGAAGGTGGGGACGCTGCAATAGATGACACTCATGAAGAAGTATTTGTAGAACCCCAACAACAATGCACCTCTTGCCCTCAACAAAAAGTTCCATCCCTAACCCCAGGTCCCGGGGTAGGTCCCCGTCGCGGTGGGAACATTTTCTCTCGAACACTAGCAGCCGCTTTGGATTCTCGAGGGGGTAAATCCCACTCTTGGCGCTCTGTAGGTCTACCCTCTTTTTGTCGGAGTGATCAGTCCTCTTCCATGCGTCTGCGGCTTCTCTCCTCCCTCAGACATCACCACAACCAACAGCCAACTCAAAATGTTTTCCAGCAACAGCAACAACAGACGAATTTAGCTCCATTCTTTACTTCATATCCTTCTTCCTCTCGAAATGAGCTCACAGTAAAATCTTTCCCTCAGGTAACAACGACGTGCTCATCGATGACGAAGGTTCCTTCCCCAAGAAGAGGGATTTGTAGCTCAGAAGGGGATGCCCATTACTTGACACAACCTTCCGGGCCTACAGGTCCGACTTCTGTATCATCGGTCTCAGTAACACAGAACGGAGGGCTCGTGACAACTGTATCACCAAGTGGTGGTAGTTCGCCATCGGCCTTTACGTACCATTATTATCATCATCATCATCATGATTCTCTTGTATAGCGCAGAGTTGAAGCTCTTCCCTTGTATGCGAAATCGTCTCAAGCTTGCCCTTTCCCAGAGAGAGAGAGTACAAATGATTTATGTGTGTACAAAAATACTTTATCCCCTCCGTCTTGCTCCCTCAGACGTCTTATTATTCTCATTTTTAGGTTATATATATATAAATGTACATGTACATGTGTGTATGTCTAATGAGAATTGTCTGTATGTGAATGAAATAAATATTTGTGAATACAAACGGTGTTTTACGTTCTGCTTTGAGGTGTTTAAGGGACAAGTCCTATAAGATGCAAGTATTGTTACAGGTATGATGTTGAGTTCAGCGTCAAAACAGTGCTAATTAGCTCACCTCCTGTTGACTACCTCTACAACTGTTAATTATATTTCACAATTATAAGCTACTACTCATAAAACCTTGAGGCACACTCGGGCACACTAATCTACCCAAAGTTAGAAGTGTCAGAGGAAAAGTGATAGAGAGAGGGAGATAATTTGACTGCATTTCTGTTGAGAATTTTAACAGAAGGGCTACTAGCTGGTGGTGTATCAGTCGACATTGCTACTATTTCATCCTCGGGGTCAAAAAGTTTCAAACCTGTCAGTTCACGTGCCATCTGCATTATTTACGTCTTTCAAATTGGAGCGTGAAAGTGTAATTTTAACTTCTTGCATTAGGAGTAACGAATCGTTTTACTTAACTACAGCAGGAGAGAAGGAGACAATGCAAGGTGTACGGATAGCGAATAGTTTAGCTTCCGTCCAAAGTGAGAGAACGCAGTTGTCATTAAAATTACAGGAGCTGAGGAGTTGTTGCTAGTCGATTGGAAGGAGGTGAGTGGATGCAGGGAAACAAGCAAAATTAAAATGAATGAAAAGGTTAGAAACAACATCAATTTGAAAATCTTTCACTACCCTGGACTACAACAAAATTCAGCTCAACTAGGCGTAAGAATAGAAAGGGAAGCCAGGTGTCTTGTTTATAACTAGACAAACATTCACACTTCCTACTGCTAAGTGGGACACGCATAGTAATAGATCGCTGTTCAAAAGACTGGAATGACTAATGGCCTCTCCAATGGCAGGCAGAAATTGAAGTGGGAGTGTCGTTTGAGAATTTTATCACAGTTTTAACACGTATGGTGTATATCCATCTGTAGAAAATGTTATTGTTGAGAGAGGGTGTAAAATTTGAAAATCGAAAGTTCTATAATTGAGAAATTGGGGATGTGTGATAGACTTACCTCCACGTGGTGCACCCTGAGCAACGTATACTCGTACGGCAAAAAAGTCTACTTACTGGCAGTTGACTTCTGACTCCAAACCACCATGACCCCACTGTATGTCATATTCGACTACTTACGGTACTCACCTCACCTTTTTTCTACCTTTGTATCTGTCTCTTTTACATCTTTGAATCACTCTTCTGTCTCCCCCCCCCCCAAGACTTTTTTCACCTTGAAGTTTCTTCCCCTCCGTGAAGCCTGAAGTCAACTAAAGAGCTAATGATAACTATCATAAAGCCTGTCATTTGATATAAATAAATAAATAAATAATTGAGAAACTGCTGCAAGCCTCAAGTAAAGCCTTAACTAATTTTAAATATTAGAGTAAAATAATTGAGGAAAATATATTAATAGGGTAACTTAAAATAAACAACATTTTTGGGAAAAAAATAAACTTAATGGTTTTTGCCTGACAGTTCCTACGCTTAGGTTACGTTTATCATTTATGTCAAGATAATCAAATTGCCAAATTACTGTTTATAAGCCAATGCTGATGTTTGTAGAGTTGACATTTTCATTATTTAACACTTGAGATTTGCTCTACGCAGATCTTAAATCTAAAATTCATGCAAGCTTTAAAGTTATAAAGAAAATTAACTCTGGAATGAATTTTTAAAAAAGTGAACAAAACAGTAAAGTTAAATATAAGGCAGACTTCTGGATAACACAGCTCAATGCGAAATATCGAGGGTTTCGAGATTTCGTTAATCGACTCTTTTACTTTCTGGTTGAGTTCATTTTCGCGGGAGTCAAGCTTAGTGACCCATTGACTGGCAGTCGAAAGGAGGGAGGTGAGATTGCAGAATGGAATCTTTAATAAGCCAAACTAAATCGAAAACACGCGTTATCAATTGCCATTCTATTACTTAATACCTGTCAATCAATAATCGAAGAGATCAGTTTATTTGGCGTTCACTTAAAATTTTGCAATGACAGATGGTCAATTAGACACCTCTACATGGAGCTTTATTTATTTATTTCAAATGGCAGGCGTTTTGATAGCTATCATTAGCCATTTAGCTGACTCCAGGCTTCACTGGAGGAAGGCTCATCAAAGTAGCAGAAAATCGAGGGGTGCGGAACGGAAGAGCGGTTGACATATGTAAAAGAGGCAAGGAGACACGAAGGTAGAGATAAAGGTAAGAAGAGTACTGTAGAAGGGGTCGAATATGTCAAGCAATCGGGCCATGGTAGTTTGAAGTCAGAAGTCAACTGTCGGTTAAGACTTTTTTGCCGTATGAGTATACGTTGCCCAGGGTGCACCACTTGGAGGTAAGTCTATCGCACACCCCACATAGTGCTTTATAATTGGTAAAATGCACTTAATGAAAAGTGCCTTATAAGAATCTCATATACTTGGGAATAAAATGATAATGCAGTATACATGGTGGTTCTTCGCCATGCTGAATTACTGAATCAATCAGGTTAACTACGATTTCTAAGTATGCAAATAATAATGATATATTTGGAGAATCAAGTCTCTGGTGTGAGAGACTTTGTTTGACATTGTTCTAAATACATTCACGTATTAATATTATTACATATGCCTACGCGATGGATTTGACAGGAATTCACGTATGTTACTGATACGTTTAATCTCTACCGTCTAGAATACAGCAGCTCTGATTTTGGCTGGCTCTTGACTAACCAACGCATAAAAATGGTAAATAAAACTTAAATTATTCAAGCACTAAAATACTTATCCTCGACTAGATTTACTTGTTGGAATACCTCGGGCTTCTATAAAGTGGGAATGTTGTTTATGAAAAGCCTTACTATTTGTAATGAAGACAAACATAGTGAAGAAACATATTCGGCTCACAGCGCAAAAATTCATTCTATACAAGTTCATTAATTCACTTTAACTGTGTTTCAATTACTAAACTAAGTCAAGCCAAGTGTCAAGTAACTAGGCCTTTAGACCTCTATCACAACCAATCCACCCCTCCCCCCGACAACCCTTCTAGGATTTACCAAACCGTCTGAAGGATAAAATTGTCAAATTCTCGTAAAATATTTCAGCAGAATTCTAATACCATCAACAAGTAATGGGAAATTGAAATTCAGTTATTTTTCCCGTGGTGTCATTTCACATTTCATTTGACTTAGTCTCCTCATCAAGCGACTAATTGATAAATAATAGGTTCAGATTGTTTCTATTCTGTGTATAAGTTAGTCAATTTGCTTTTCTTCGCTTGATTTAGTAATATTTCTTTATTATCTAACACTCTTTCGTTTTAATTGTCGCTAAGGCATATGTCGCTCTTAAGGAAATGCTTTCCTTGAAAATTTAACTTAAATCCTACGAATACCGCCTACGCAAAGGGGCTGGTTACTAGACTGATCAGTAAATATCGATTTGGATTTGGTATTGAATGCACTTTAGTGAGCTCTTTGAAAGCGAAATCGCAGCTGCAGGTCTTTTCAAAATTCATTTGACTGCTAGAGAGATGTTAATGAATCCGAGGTTGCACTACCAACCGGTCAGTAAAATGGGAAAATAAAACGAAGCTGTCAACTAGCGAAATTTGAAATTTTACTAAGGAATTATAACTGCTATGAGCAAATCAAGGACTTCCAGTTTCCAGGATTCAAATGGAATAAATCAATACCTGCTTATGCTTGAACTTCCCTGTTATTGATTTCTTTATAACTTCAAGTTCACTGTTACATAGCATGCAAGAATGACTCAAAACTTAGAGGGAGAGAGAAGTGAAGATTCACACAAGCTCAACTAACCCATTTCCCTAGCCATATTTATCAATGGAATTAAGAATTAGGTTTGACAGGATTATAATAGATCGGAGAAGAGAGTACCTAGCATTGATAGCTCTTTGACTTCACGGCCGATCGAAGACGATTGATGGGTCGGACAAAAAACTAATCGATGAAGGAAATTAAACTTCGTAAAGCCCAACTTGTCAAGGTTATAATGCGGAAGTAATTTGATGATGGCGCGGAATAGATATTGCAACACATTGTTTTGCTTTAGTATAGCAATTGTTCCTCTGTTTCCAGTTTTCAAATGTTTTCTCATGGTAAAAAAATCATTCTTGCTTCAACAACAGAGATAGTAAAAACTAGAAATAAATATGAAATTTCCGTGAAATTCAAAAGTTACCAGAAGGGAATGAAGAGGTAACGCCACGAGATTTGATAAGCCAATGTAGTTCAAAAATGTTATTTTACAATTAAACTTGCTGACTTTGGAGAACGATTTTCTGTCAAATACCTTTGAGTATTTAAAAAAATTACTTCAAACCACGTACTCACCATTGGCCTTAGTATCATTATTGGCAAATCGAAGAATTCCGAATTATTAATGTGGAAATGAATGAACAACTGAAGAAATTGACAGTCACATCTTCAGACATGCATTAGTGATTGTAGTTTCTAATCACGGCTAACCCGTGACCTTCCCCCCTTGTATTTATTCAAAATATGTCGTAGCACAGTTTACTAACGTGTTGTCTAGTAAAGACTGTAGCGGATTGCTACTTTAGTAAAGCCTGACCGACTCAGGAATCTCTATGGCAGATTCTCCAACATCTAGCTAGACTCCCAGAATCAGCTAAGCTATAGCCCAGCTATAAAGGAAACAAAAGTGTAACACGGAGCACGCTTATTCAGTTAGTATCTTGCGGATCAAGTGTGTCCACGCAGGGAGCTACTCATGATCAGGATGGGGGATTAGGTTAAACAGAGGTTGATGATTGG